ATATTTGGAAATAATCTTAAAAAGAAGAAAAAACGATGAAGTAATACACTAATGATTATTTCCAAAATGATGGTAAGGTAAACATCTTTCAAAAAAGAAAAAAAAATCCTAAAATCTTATGAGGAAAAAAAATAATTTTTTTTTAAATGGCGGGAAAATGTATCGAATTTCGTCCCGGTTTTTGAGTTTTTCCGGTTTTCTGATTTCCGGATAACGGGTTCTGTACTGTAGTACATTAGCGGGTTGTGTGGTAAAGGCCTTATTAAGTCACTTGGCTCCTTGCAAATTCGATATATACTTGCTGAGAGGACTAGGCCGTTAAGCATGTCATGACCAGCCAAATATAGTTTGTCTACAATGAGAACTCCCCCCTCCACAAAGTCTGAGATTGCCTGCTGCTATGGAAAAAAGAATAGCGCATTACTTCACTCTAGGACTAACATAGTAGACCGAAGAAAAAGATTCCCTTTCTCTCACTGACCTGAGCCAAACCCCTACTTGGAATAGTTATACCTCGTTACCATAGTTACTGCCATGGGTTCAGACGAATGACTAGAGGAGTTCTTACTTTAGACAAACTATAGGGGTTCAACTCTCAGTGTGGACATCATATTTCCCCAATTTCTTCCAATACATGAAGAATTTTCTATTTCCTGCTTTCTTCAATATGTGACAAAGATTGATTTGATCTTGCAATATTCTAATGTAAACATAGATGTGAGCTATACTCATTACAAAAAGATAGTACTTCCCATCTCTCACATTAGATGGCGCAACTTTATCAACTAATTCAGGGTTATTCTGAAGTTCATTTCACAATCAGCATTTCCTTTTAATTTATTCACTCTGTTGATTGGAAAGAGAGTATTATGGTGAATGCTTTATGATGTTGTTTAGCTCATTGAAATTGAGTATATACTCTAGCTAGGAAGGCCTAACTGTCAATCTCATGACCAGCTGTACATGGGTTTGAATCCCAACATGGGCACCACATTATTTCATCCATTACTTCAATATAGTTTTCATCCCCCTACTCTCCTAAGCTGGCAACATTTTATTGTACTTTATTGAAAAAGCATTTCCTTTTCGAAACAATAAACAAGAAAATTTTTAAACTTTGTCAAAAGTGTAGTAGAGACATGACTAACCACTAATGCCTTGTTACTTACTTGCTTTATTCTTACTTCCTCCCTTTTTTGTTAGAAAAATGAATGCAGATTTTAAACCTTATGTATGATTTTACTGCCTATTTTTGGTTTGATAACTCATTACAATAATAAACGCAATCTTAAACAATAATCGATTGATTAAACAAAAACCATTAATATGAATTTACAATCATTGAAACTTAAGTAACAGAAAAAATTCCAGCTGTCTTTTTTTTTTTTTTTCTTTTAATGAAAAAAAGTCTCATAGGCAAATTATAGTTATAATTTTCAAACTGTTTCCTGTTAAATAATTTGTTGCACAAAAAAGTCTTGATGGGACGTTTATGAGCAAAAATTTAAATTGGAAACTACAGACCATTTTTTTTTATTTAAAGAAAAGGAGTGATTAATAGAATAAATTGCCCTTTTTCTTCAAAATTCTACATTTTATGATTGGCTTGTCTACTCTTTTTTTTTTTTTTTTTTTTTTTTTTTTTTTTTTTTTTTTNGTTTGTCATCAGTATAAAATTAATAAAAGTTTTTAAGATATAATTTAACTTCATCTCTAATTAAAAGGTAATATTCATTTTCATTTATCATCCTTTTCAAAGTTAAGAATTCTCGACTATTAATACTGTGATATTACTTACTATAAACTATTAAACTTTAAATTAGATTTAATTTTTATAACATTTTCGTAAAACTGTGCCTAGTCAACATTTACAATTAAAATAATGAATACAGAATTGTAAAAGATTAATAGAAATTAATTTTTACCTTATTACTGAACACTCCCTTTAAGCAAAAAGCATTCAAAAAGTTTTATATTAACAAAAAATAAAATAGGAATTTAAAAAACAAACCTATAGATGCAGTTGCTATGTTAATCTAACAAAACGATTAAGTTTAAATTACATCACAGTTGAATCGGGACCTCAATCTGTGGAATCAAATTAACGTGTTAATATAATAAACAATTTGGGATATTTCAATTGAATATTTTTGAATTCGGATTGGACAATCTGTTGACCGCTACGAAACAAATAATGATTCGTAGGTGAACAAAGCGTGCAGGGGAATCTGGTCCCAGACGATTTGGCTGACATTTTGATATGCTGTACTTAAAATTCTCCTGATCAAAATTCCTCATGGGGCTCCCCAATGTCAAAAAATGAACTGATTTTGAGATACGGACTTAAGAAAACTAACCTTTTGCCTGATTATAATGTACAGAAATAACTCTGAAAACCTTTGTGACATGGAAGTTTGACACCCCATATCTCGAAATCTGTTTGTTTTTGACATTGGGGCCCCATGAGTACAATGTATCAAAATTTCAACCAAATTGAGACCCAATTCCCGTATAAAATATATGGGGTTTTTAAATAAATTTTCCACTGAGTCACTATTTTTCCATTAAAGTCACTTTCATCAGAGATAAGTCGCTCATTCTTGTTAAAAAGACTGAAAAGTCGCCAATTCTTATAAGTTAAATTTTGTCACTTCACAGAAAATTTTCTATGCCAGAAAGCGATATAGAAACTAGTTCAGCTTTTGGAGAAGTATTTTATGTAAGTACAGGATACTCTTGATTTATCGAACTTCGATTTTTCAAAAACCTTGTCATGTAAAAAAATATATATATTTTATCCCTTGGCATTATTTATCCATTACAGGGGCGGATTCAGGAATTTTTCTGGGGGTCGGGGTCATAGACTCAGATCCCCCCCCCCCACGCACACAATTATTTTTTTTTATATTAAAAAAAAAATTTTTTAATTTTTTTTTTGGAAAAAAAATGGGGTTTTTAATGCTAGTCTTCTCATCTATTTTTTTTCATAATGAACAATACATAAATAATTCAAGTATTCAAAATCTTTAAATAATAAATGTAATGCGTTTTTTAGATACTTTGGCAACTAGATTTTAGTTACGAGTTTCGCTAGTTTCCCATCTTCACCTTTATACAATCTTTGGTTAAACCTGTTGAAGCGCGTTTCAACATTATCAATGTTTACAATGAAACTATGACGAATTTCGTTTTAATCTTTTGGATTATGATTCTTGAAACAGTGAAGAACATAACCAGATGAAAAAAAATCGATTTTTCCGACCTACCTAGGTGTATATGCCCTCTTAAATAATTTTTAAAATACTTTTTTCTCTTGTAAACTATTATAAAAATTATTATTTTTTTCAAATTTTTTTTTTGGGGGGAGGGGGGGGTTTACCACTGATCCATTAAAGTTAATTTTAATTCCTATGTCGAAAGGTTTCTTCTCAAATTCTTGCTATGTCCAATTTTTTTCGGAAAAATCACTACGTAAATTCATCTCAAACCAATTGTTTTATATTTAATGCATAATTGTTCTTGTCTTACTTTTGAAAATAAAATTATCATTGTTGTATTTATACTTTTAGTCAACTGTCATTAAATACCTATTTAATCGTAGTTAGTTTTATGTTTCACGACTACTTTTTAGAGTAATATTTTGGAATATATTATTTTACTTTTTAGAACATATTTAGTTCTGAACTTGTCTCGAAAACTCGCTATCTGGAAATTTTTTTAGCGTCTCTTCAACTTTGAGCAGGGACAGATTATAGCCTAGGCCCAATAGGCATGGGCCTAGGGCCCACAATTTCTGAGGGGCCTCAAAAATTAATAAAAGGTCTAATGAAAGGTGGGCTAGCTATGTGTTGATTTAAGTACAACATAAAAAATAATTCCAGCTTACAATAAATAAAAAAATTCAGCTAATCAGTGACTTATAGCAAAAATCACTGATTTCAATTGTTTGTGGTTACCAAACTATTTTTATTTTGACATAACATTGTTTTGTTGTTTTATATTTTGCTTTAATTTATAGATACGTAAACTTCATCTTAGAAAAATAATCTTCAATTGTCTGCTTTTAAAATTTCTTAGAATGTTTCTCTTGAATCATGCAGTTCAGTAGATTCTTTTTCATTATTAGGACTACTCTTCAGTAATTTAATTTCAAAATATTCTGTAAGGGACCCAGAAAATTTGGTGGTCCTTGGGCCTGAATTTGTCTTTATCGGTCCCTGACTTTGATATATCGAGAGTATACTGTATATTACTGGTTAGAGTTAGAATTCGTTAAAAACAGAAAAACTGTTTTACAAGGGAAATGTTTTCAGAAACTTTTCTCCCTGATGGTTAATCTCTTTAATCAAGTGTATGATATTTTTTGTGTAGGTGTATTTCGATCACCTTTTTTTTTAAATTGATCTTGTTTTCTTTTCTTTTTTAATGAATAATACACTATTTTTACGATACTAGTTGCTTGAGTGAAACCCTGTAACTGAATATTTTTGTATTTTTAATGCGTAGAATAAAAATAAATACAGTTTTAATGCAGGAGATTATAAAAAATTTAAATGTTTTTTTTTTTCTTTTTTAGTTTTGTTTCGTTTATTAATGAATTTCGTTCATTTGTTGATTGATAGATGAAATGAATGCATTCTCTGACAAATACGCTTTTTTTATTTCCTATTTTTTCCCCTTTTTTATTCACTCTCTACATTAAAACTCATTCATAGTATCGGTTGCCATAGAGATGCACTACTATTAAATGAAGATAACTATTAAAATAATGATCTCTTAGTTAACACAGAAGTTTTTATAGAACTTAATTTAGTTTAAACAAAACATGGTGAAACAATGAGTAATCACTTTTTACCTTTTTAAAATAGTTTAGTATATCATAAATGTTCGATCTATCAAAGAAGTAATATAATTAAGGAATAATTATAATATTTTTAAAGAAAAATGAAAAGTGAGTAAAATTTTTTTTAGCCTGTTTCATTAGATTGTTGAACTGTTTCATTGGACTCTTGATCTGTTTCATTAGACTCTTGAGTTTCGTGAAATTTTTGATCTGTTTCATTAGACTCTTGCGAATTGATTACGTTAGAATAAGAAAAGAGAAAAAAAATATTGGAAGATTTAAATTTTATGACATTTTCATTCAATTAATTTTTAAAAAAAATAAATTTTAAAAAAATTTTAAAGAAATTTTTAAAAAAAAAGTGTGATAAAGACACATTATCGATTAAACAAATAATATCTTAAACAAATAAAGATGACTTAAAGCAGCATTGATTAAAAAAACGTCTTACAGACTCTTTTTAATCAAAGTTTGCCCTCTTGACCCCCCTTGACTTAAATTTCGCCCCCCCCCCTCAGTCGCCATTAAGACTTTGCTCTCGCTGGTTTCAATCTAAAAATGTTTCATCAAATTCATAACAAATATTCAATTTGAAAATTCACATTTTATTTATTATTTATTTATTTTTTTTAATTATTGTCCAAATCTTAAAAAGATGGCACCTGGTTTACCATTCAACAACACTGGAGAAAAGCAAATTATGCAAATTTTAAAAAAATTATCAATAATTAAGTAAGACAGAAATGAAGAAAATCGGTAGTAAATAAGAAGAAAAAAAATGCTTTATAGTGAAGAAAGAAAAAGTTTCACTTTTTTCGAGAAGATCTATTTCCCCCAGGTTTTTCAACTCTTAAAAAAATATCTATATGTATTTTCCCTCCATTCATATGGAGATTGTTTCATAGTTTTTCAAATACCGGATTATTAAAAAAAGAAAAAGAAAAAAAATTTGTAAATACGATCCGATTTCAGATCCCCTCCCCTTTTTAAATCAATAAATTTATTAACTTCTCTTTAAGATTTCAATTTTTTTTTCTTGAAACTCACTGCAACATTTTAGAAATCAAACCTTCTCTCTCTATTAAAACCTTTTCATTTTTTTGTCTTACCTGTAATTTAATAAGAAAAAAAAAACACCGAATTTTATAATTTCTTTATTTCATGAATCCGCCAGAGGGCGTTTCGCCTTAGGCGAATTTCTCTTCTTTCACGCTTTTCCGTTCACTGACATAACTATTTCGTTGATGGCGGACGGTTATATCCTTTTCCTGAAGTGAGTAGAAGCGTGGATAGGTGACTTAATTACCTTCAAGATTGTTCCTGGCTCAAATTTAAGGTAAGTGATAGTTTTGTTATTGTTTAAAATTAGTTTAGGAGTTTTCTTCATTAAATTTTTTTTGATTAAGCCGCAAGTGTTGCGATTAAACGGTCATTGGTTGAATGAAGAGTGTCTCTCCATTCGTTGGTCAGAAATATCCAATCCCGACGGCGTCCATTGCAAGGAAACTTCGTGCTGCGTCGTCATTGTACATTTCTCCTATTAGATTTGTTTGATTGGCTTATAGAATGTTGTCAAAAGACACTAGCTGTGTTCTTTGTAAATAAACATCACTTCTCTGGGATTTAAACTTAGAATTTCTTGTTTTTTAAATGCTTATGGAATTTACCGAAGACAAAGCAATATGGCTCCTTGAACTCGTTCCATTTTAGTTGTCATAACCATGAACGCGCGCCAAAGGCATGTGGTGTATTCTTTAATCTAGTGACTGTTTTGTAGTGTTGTGCTAGTGTGAAAACTCATCTGTAGATGCACACGTTTTATAAAACATCGAATGAAACCCTTAAATGGTCGAACAACTATGAAATCATTTCGAAGCTATTGTTTGTGTTGGAAAGTGGGTTGACCTCTACTAAGTTTAGTTAACAGGAGCGTGAATACTGCACCAGCAAGTTCTTTTAAAATAAGTTCTGAAATTTGTATTTTTATCTCCTTCACGCTTGTATAACATTTTCGCTTCATATTATTAATAATTTCATTATTCTAAATATGGATACTCGTGTAAAATTAAGTACACTGAATCCGTACATTTCCTGCTTCATTTGCAAAGGTTATTTAATCGATGCTACAGCTATCACAGAATGTTTGCATACGTTTTGCAAAAGCTGTATTATAAAAAGATTGCAAGCGAAAGACGGAGGAAATTGTCCTAAATGCAACGTTACAATACATCGCAGTAATCCCCTGCATGGTATAAGGCTAGATAGAACTATGCAAGATATTGTTTATAAACTAGTACCGGATTTGCAATATAAAGAGGTTATACGAGAAAAAGTATTCTGTCAAGTACAGGGTATACCGTACAGGAAAAAACACATGATTGTTATTAAAGACAGGAAAATGAAAGTTTCTGATTCCGAATCTAGAACTGTTGATGCCATAACTGAGGACAGAGTTTGCATTCAGTTAGAATCCAACAACAATGAGTTAAGACCACTTACGAGAAAATTTATTTGCTGTTCTTCCCGTACCACAATTGCTCATGTTAAAAAACTAATAGCAAAAAAGTTATTTTCAGATTTACAAAAGTATGGCTCTGTGGACATTTTATGTAATGATGAAATATTGGGAAAGGATCATACTTTAAAATTTATCTATGTGACTCGATGGAGATCCAAAAAACCACCTTTGATGTTGTATTATCAACCTCGTATTGACATTCTTGGTTTGAATGAACAATAACAGGAGCTTGAACTGTAATAACAATTTTTGGTGATAACATTGTATGAATATAAAAGTTCGAGCTTCCTGTTGAAATCAAAAGATTTTTAAGACGCTGTTGAGTTATTGTCTCATCATGAATATATAATGAAATATTTGAGCTTACTGTTACCAACATAAAAAATTTATCGTTTAAACTGTTACATCATCATTATTGTTAACATCATTGCATTCTTTTTATAAAGCACAGCAGCTTGCAAGTGTTCAAGTTGTAACAAAGATTTTTTGCATTTTTAACTCTTCATGAGAACATTTACTGAAAGTGGAATAAATTTTTTTTTTTTTTGAAGGCTAATTTTCTCTCTCTTGCAAGTTAATTTTTAATGCATTTATATTTAAAGAGTGTGAACCAACTAGTTTCTTAATGTGATAATGATTCTAAAAGATGAGGAAATATTATAATTTTGAAATAATTTCAAGTTAAGAATATTTTCGGAAAAATATTTTTTCTTTTGCAATTTTCATTATAGATAATTAATATTTTATCTATTTTGTCTTAAGCTTTTTTAGTAAATATATTTGATGATTAATAAAACTTAATTATCTAAGTTTCTAGCTATTTTATTTATTTTATTGGTGCTATTTATTCTAGTATTTGTATTGCTTTGTTAATATTAATTATCCTGTCTTTTATTTCTCTCTGTATTGACATGTTTATACTTTAAAGTACATTTATTAGTTTGAAATAATTATGTTTACAAGTTTTTTCCTAAATTCCAGCTTTGTTAAGATAACTCCATATTAGTCAAATTGCATCATTTAAAATTGTGTTGTAGTAATGGTAAATATTTACTGTAAGTAGTACCTTTGAATCTAAACTCAGGAAGTCATAATTGTAATTTAGTTGCTGGATTTTCATTTAGTTAAGACTAAAATAAATACTGTCCTATAGTGTCATACTTAAAAGTAAATAAATATTTTTGGTTAGCTGATCACAAGTAAGAAGTCACCAAACAATGTGATCAACTGCCAACTTTTTATTTATGTAAATCCATTAAAATTAAATGCAATTAAGAAATAGTTGTGTTTACTATAGCTTGGCTGATTCAAAAATTAAACATTTTCTTCGTTGAGAAAGATATATATTTATTTAGATTTTTTTTTTTTTTTTTTTTTTTTTTTTTTTTTTTTTTTTTTTTTTTTTTTTTTTTTTTTT